TCTAGAGAGAATATTATATGTTCTGCAAATGGCAAAGACCACTGTAATTATAAAGAGAACATAGCAAATAGTGAAGAAATGTGTTTTCAGTGGTCTTTACCTTCTGAGCACCATTTTTCACAGGACAATGTGTTAACAGCAGGCAGCTTAACCATCCTTCCACGACAGGAAGCTGTTACCTTTTCTGATTCAGATAATACAGACATTTCTGAGCAACATGTTTCTAATTATGAACATTATATTGATGGAGGATCTTTTGATCACTCACCTGGCAATCATGAACACACTTCCCGGGCTTGTGCAAGAACCCTTTCAATATGTGAAGCTTCAGAGTTGGCTAGTCACGCAGAACTGTTCAGAAGGCCTCAGGATAATAGCCCCAGGTCATCTACTCCTTTCATGTGTCAAACAGATGCACATATTATAGAAAAGGTGGATAAGAAGCATGATACTAACCAGAATTACACTAATAAAGATCATGAAACAAGATACTCAAGTGGGCCTTTATCCACAACTGTTCATTCTCCACTAATAGAAGCACCTAAAGTTGAAAAAAGGAGGCAAGGCCTTCTAGAGAATAAGGTCACTTGTAACGTAGAATTTCAGCCCACTGACTATATGAATAAAGAATTGGTCAACAACTCACAGCTTAATCAAAGAAGAGAGAAAGAAATTTCTCCCAAACCAGGTATTCGTAATCTTGCTTGATTTGTAAATATTTCCTGTAGACAAAACTATTTTATAGAAATATCCAACTGAATTATATTCAGTATATTAAGAACTGGAACATATGGGCCATGACTAGGGTTGTGATAGTGTTTACTTTGAAAGTTATTCTATTGGTATCAAAGATTGGTTGTTAAATTTGTATTGGCAAAAGTTAGTAATAGTACTTCTGTATTTTTTAATTTCTTTTTAATATACACTTGTTTTGTATCAGGAATCATGAAAACATTTTCACAGTAGGAGATTATCTCACTGATACTGATCATTGATTCCATCAAATTGCAATCAGAAAATTTCATGTTTTTAATTTTAAAGCAACCTTAAGGGTTTCCAATCCTTTAAAATAAATAGTGTAGCTTAAAACAAGCTCTAGAATTGTACGGATTTTTTAAAGTCTTGCTTACAATGCTAATAGTGTTTGTTTTCCAGATGAGGGATTAATGGATAATGGGGACAAAAGCACCATAAGCATTTGTGAGGAGAAAAATGAAAACCCCGACTCAGAGACTCATATGCCTAATACACAAGTTCAGAATTTGAAAAGCAGACAAAATTTGTTGAAAGCTACCTGTCGCCCAGGTTTGTATTCCCTAATTATATAGATAAAATTTTATATAGTCAAGCACAGCAATCCATTCTTCTCTCAGAATTTATAAACTTTCCGATATACTAGTGTGTTTTTTTGTTATTGGTGGTTGGCTTTTGCTTTTAGTTATCCATTATGTTATAAGATTATCTTAGTTATATCTGCTGGATATTTTCACTATAAAGCAGAACTTCAGAATCCATTAAGTTTCAGATATATTCTTATTATATTTCCATTTATGACTTTGAATTTCTTATGTTAGAAGAGATGAACAGGGAAGGCAACAGGATTGAGCTGATACAGTAGGGATGACGTGTGTCTGATTTCTTAGAAGCTTTCCCCTGTCTGTTGTTTTTTATCTCAGAGCCCCTTCCCCTATCTCTTTTAACAAGGGAAATTTAGGAAGCATGGTCACTAGTTTCTTTGTGTCTGATAATGAACTATGTATGTTGGGCACTGTGGACAAGCTCTCCTTGGATAGCGCTTGGGGTTAGTACTATGATGAACAGTAGGTTGGACCACTTCAGGTTAACCAATAAGCACTGGAAGTGCACTGGAAGTAGACTGTCTCCCTCTCATATAAACTGAAACTTTTCATATACATACTTCCTGTCACTATTGAATTGTGTCCACCAAAATGATAATGGCCACATTTAATTACATTAAGTATTTTAGTTGGAGATAGTTCTGGATTAGTTCTGGATTATCTAGGTAACCCTAAATCCAATGACAAGTATCCTTATAAGGAAATGGCACAGGAAGCTCTAAGACACAGAGGCGAGGAATGTGAAGAATGAGCCTGAGAACCAAGGAAGGCTGACGGCTACCAGAAGCTGTACGAGTTAACAGAGGTCAGCCTTGCTGACACCTCCATTTTGGATTTCTAGTCTCCAGAATAATAACCATAAATTTCTATTGCTTTAAGCCAGCCAGTTTGTGGCACATTTTTATGATCCCCAAAGTAAATGAATACAACTTACACATGACACATTGAGGAGGCCAGGTTGCCAAATGGGTATTCATCTGCTGACTTAAAAGTTGATGATTTGAACCCACTAGCTGCTCTGTGAGAGATTAAAAAACTGGCCATCTGCTCCCATAAAGAGTGTGGTTTGCTACCAACATGCTATCAAGTTAGTTCTGACTTATAGCGACCCCACATATAACAGAACTGAACGTTGCCTTGACCTGTGCAGCCTCACAGACATTGCTATGTTTGAGCCGACTGTTGCAGCCAGGTGGCAATTAATCTCACCGAGGGTCTTCTGTTTTTTCCCTGACCGAGCATGTTCTTTTCCAGGGACTGATCTCTCTTGATAACATGTCCAAAGTAAGTGAGACAAAGTCTTGCCATCGTCCCAGCTAAAGAGCACTCTAGCTGCACTTCTTCCAGGACAGGTGTATTCATTCTTCTGGTGGTGGTGTTAGGTGCTGTCTAGTTGGTTCTGACTCATAGCAACCATGTGTACAACAAAATGAAACGTCATTCAGTTCTGCACAGTCCCTATCATCGTTAAGTTTAAGCAGCCCATAGTGTATTTAATATTCTTTAGCAACACTATAATTCAAAGGCATCATTTCTTTCTTCTGTGATATTTCCTATTCATTGCAAGTTTTTGCATGCACATGAGGCTTTTGAAAATACTGTGGTTTGGGTCAGGCACACTTTAGTCTGCAAAGTACATCTTTGCTTTTTAACACTTGGAAGATATCTTTTGCAACAGATTTGCCTTATTTCTTGACTGTTCATGGGTGTTCATCATAGGTCCAAGTAAAGTGAAATCTTTGACAACATCCACATTTTCTCCTTATGTCATGATGCTGCCTATTGGTTGAGAGAAGCCCTGTTGCGGTGATTACAGGTTGGGCTGTTAACTGTGCGGCCAGTCATTGGAAACCACCAAACGCTCGCTCCATTGGAGAAAGACAAGGCTTTCTACCCCCATAAAAAGTTATTATCTTGGAAACTATCCTATAGAGTCACGATGAGTCGGCATTGACTCCATGGCAATAAGTTTGGAGTTTAGCCTCTTGTTCAGTTGTAAGCAATCTTGTTTACTTTATGTAAACATGTTTGTGGCCATTTCCTGTGCAGCAATAGCATACTCATATAATTCATACTGAAGGCTGCGATCTTTGATCTTCATCAGTGAGTGCTGAAAGCCTCTTCACTCTCAGCCAGCAAGGTTGTGTCTTCTGCACCATAGGATGTTAACGTCTTTCTCATTCCTGATGATAGATTCTTTATATGTGCCACAGTTTCTAGCATCACAGCAACACACAAGTGACCACAGTATGACACACTGACTGACAAATGATATTGTAAAGATTATAGCTTCAGAAACCCTATGGGGCAGGCCTACTCTGATTCGACTTAGTGAGTTTAGATTTTGGTTGGGTTTAATAAATATCCTTCTCTGTTTTATCACCATACCCCTCTGTTTTGCCTGTGTCTGAATCCAACACCTTGCTGATGCAGTTTTACAGAGGATAAATTTCCAGATTTCTGGCCAGAGGGGAGTGGTTGCTAGGCTAATCAGGGTTGTGGAAGGGAGCTTGGAATTCCAACTTTTCTTGTGTGGATTTTTCGATCAATATTCCTCTTCCCAGCACTAATCCATACTTGCTGGCCTCTATAGTACTTGATACCTCGAAGTGCTGAGTGCCTTGCTTTCTGATTTGCTGGCTCTAGGATGGAGTATCCCCCTCATTGACAAGCCAGGTAGCTCTGTGCCATCAGTGTACTTTCTAATCCCCTAAAACATATCAGAGTATTTTGTCCTTTATCATCTTCCTGTGTATGTTTAACAGTAATTAGTGCATGTTTCTGTGTAGTGCACCCTACTGAGGATGTTTGTGGAAGTGGTCAGGTATTCACAAACATCCTTTAGAATGATCAGTATCGAGCAGAAAGCAGCCCTCAATTTTGCTCGGAAATTTTACAGAACTGAAAACATCTGGAATTAACAAGAGGAATTCTAAAGGAGAAAGTTGTCTTCATGTAGCCGCCAGAAGAGGAGACTTGGCTCGGGTGAAAGCGCTAATAGCATCTGGAGCCCATGTGAATTTAAAAGACAATGCAGGTTAGAGTCCTTTGGGCAGGCGGGGGGGGGCGTAGGGGGATTGTCTTTTAATTTGAACTCACTGGCATGCCTATGTCTTTCATACCTCTCCTCCTCAATTTTGGTCCTGGCTGGCATATTACTGCTAACTTTGAATCTTTTAAATAATGTAGCATTGCTTAGTGGAACAGTAAGATTTATTTTGGTGTGTCATCCATTACTGGAATAACTTTTAAAAAAGTCATTTTATTGGGGGTTCTTACAGCTCTTATGACAATCCATACATCAATTGCATCAATCACATTTGTGCATATGTTACTATCATCATTTTCAAAGCATTTTCTTTCTACTTGAGCCCTTGGTATTAGCTCCTATTCCCCACCTCCCATCCTCTTGAACCTTTCATAAATTATAAATAATTGTTATTTTCATATCTTACACCATTCAGGGTCTCCCACTGACGGAACTTCTATTTTGAAATAGTTTTTATCAGTTTGGGCTACACGGAATGGGAAGTAAGGGGAGCTGTACTTGGCCCCTTTCTTTGGAAGCCTTTGTTCCCTTCCCTAACTCTGGAAGGAATGCAAGCATTGCCCTGTCCCCTCTTCCCTTTCCTCTTCATTATGCTCTTCCTTTTTCAACCATTCCCTTTATTATAAACCTCCACCTTAAACATAGAACTTCTCAATTAATGCTTAAGCACAAAAGAATCTTGTCTGAGGAATTCTAGAGGGAAAAACATTTTTAAAGTTTGAGGCAAATGTCATTTTAAAGACAAATGTGACAATGGGAAAAATACAAATATCAAAGTCAGACACAATCATATTTTTTCTTAATATCCAAGTTGAAACAAGTTGACATGGTTAGTAGTTACACCATTCCCATTCTATTTGACAATCTTGAGTCTTCTCTTCTTATATTTCACAAATATTTATTGAGATTAAATTGTTTTTCAAAAATGAAACTTTAAAGACATTTAAGGCAATATTTTTCAATAGTATTTTCTGTCCAGTGATTTGTGTGTACATCTGAATCAATATATATTCTAATAATTAAAAAACAACTGCCTTAATAATAAGGAGATCATATAAATGCTGATTTCTAAGCAGTAGCATGTCCCCTCTTCTTTTTTTTTTTTTAGGTTGGACACCACTTCATGAAGCATCTAGCAAGGGATCAAATGATGTAATTATAGAGTTATTGAAAGCTGGTGCTAATGTTAATAGTGCAAATCTGTATGGAATTCTGCCCTTGCATGATGCTGTTATAAACAGTCATTTAAAGGTACAATATATATCAGTTTAGTTTCCTATTCTTATAACAACAAGCAATGACAATGAAAATGTTTAAGAATTAACATGATTCCTTAAAATAAATGATCTGAAAAACCTGCTTAAAATTACAAGTAAAGATAGAATAATTGTGTATTAGAAAAAAAAGAAAAGAAAAAAAATTGTGTATTAGAAAATCAGTACATTGCTAAATCAGTCATTTTGCCATGGCCTTTATCACATAATTCATTTAAATAAGAATAGAATGAATGCATGCTATAATCTAATGGCTATTGCCCCATAGAGTTTCCAAGACTGTAAACCTGTGGAAGCGTATTGCTACATACTTCTTCCTCAGCATGGCTGGTGTGTGTGAAACACTGACCTTTCAGTTAGCAACCAAGTGCTTAACCACTCTGCTACTCAGATTCCCTATAAATCTAATACAGTCCATTTTTAAGGGTCTAAAGGGATTTATTTTTGTACACAAAAGCTGAGAGCTGATTTTTTTTTTTAACTCAAAATTTCTCCAGTGGGTCTGATGTTTCAAATGAATGGGCAAGAACAGTTAGTTGTGTGTTTCCTAGGGATTTCTTTTTTCTCCTTTGTTTTCTTCATCGAGTAGCCATGGTAGAAATCTCACAAGAAAAAGGTGAGCCCTTTGAAATGAGAGGAAGCATCAGAGAAACGCTCTCCTGCTGGTATGGAAGAAAGAAAACAGCCATTTTGCCAGTGGCCAAGTAGGGCCATGTGGACAGGGACTGCAGGCAGCTTCAGGGAGTTAAAAGCGGCCCCAGCTATAGCTATAGGTATCAGGAACGTACCATTGCAGTTACACAACTACAAAGATACAAATTTTGATAAAAACTAGTGAGCTCGGAAAAATACCCCAAGCTTTAGATGAAGGTCACAGTCGCAGTTGATACCTTAATTTCATTCGGGTAAGATGCTGAACAAAGAACCCAGCCACACCATACTCCAATATCTAGCCCACAAAACTGAGATGAAAAATTTATACTGTTTTAAGGCACATGTTTGTGGTAATTTCCTGTGCAGCAATAGCATACTAATATGTGCCATATGTTAAAAAATGTGGATGAAAACAGAAACATAATGAAGTCACATAATAAGACATAAATAAGTTTCAATTTTGGCTGGAGATGGAAACAAAGTATCTCATTAAAGATTCATCAAATGGAATTAACAGATGATTGAATACTGAAATAAATTGTCAATAAAATGAAAGATAAAGCAATAGTATTTATCCAAAATTGCACACAGGAAAAAGAAAGATTTGGACAACAAAATAAAGAGCATCAAGACAGTAGCAAGTCGTATAACACATATGTAATTACAATCCTCCAAAGCTGTGGCATGGTCAAAAAACAAAATTCATAAGAGGCCAATATTTCTCCAAAGTTAAATGAAAAGCAATAATCCCACAAAACCAAAAGTCTCAACAAATCTCCACCAGAATAAACATGAAGAAACCGTTACCAGTGCATACCTAATCAGATTGTTTAAAGCAAATGACAAATCTGAAAAGCAGCCATCGTAGTAATAGCTAAGACACACATCTAGAGGGATGAATACCAGAATGGCAACTAGTTTCCCAGTGAGACCTTTGAGTCTGTCTGTATAAGGTGACATCTTTGACAAGTGCACACAGGAAACCAAAACTTGTTTATCTAGAAATACATACTCAGCAAAGGTAGCTTCTGAAAGCGAAGCCAGTATTGGGCAAGTATTTGGAGAAATCAGAACACTGTTGGTAGGAATTTAAAATTTTAAAGCTAGAAAATAGTCTAGCAAGTCCTCAAACAGTTAAATACACAGTTACCAAATGACCTAGAAATTCTACTCCTCGGAGAGAATCGAAAATATATGTCCATACAAAAAGTTCTGCCTAGTTATTCATAACACCATTATTCATAATAGCCAAGAAGTCTAAACAATTCATTGTTCATGAGTTGATGAATGGGAAAAGAAATGAGGCATATTTCAGTGGAATCTTATCCCAATATAAAAGTATTACACACTAGACGGATGAACTTTGAAAATGATATGCTAAGTGAAAGAGGCAAGAATTAGAAGATCATATGACATGTGGTTTTATTCATATGAAAAGTCCAGAATAACCAAATCCATAGGAACAGTAGTTCAGTGGTTGCTGGGTCTGTGGGTGTAGACGGCAGAGACATGATGAGAGTGTGCAGTGACTGCTAGTGGGTACAGAGTTTCTTTTTGGGGTGGGAAAAATGTTCTGGAGTCAGGAAGTAGTGATAGATACCTGAGTAGTCAGATAGCAGAGCCCAGTGATACAGTGGGTTAAGAATTTGGCTGTTCATCACAGGGTCAGAGGTTAACTCCACCAGCCCAGCCACTCCAAGCAAGAAAGATGAGGCTGTCTGCTCCCCTAAAGATTTGCAGTCTCAGAACCCTTGGAACAAGTCCGCCTTGGCCTCCCCGGGTGCCAAGAAGCAAAAGGGAACTGAAGGCAAGAAAATGGGGTTAAGTTTCCGAAAAAAAAAAAAAAAGCCAAAACTTAAAACTTAAAAAAGTGAAAAATCCCAAAAGAAGGGAATTAAAACCCCAATTTTTTAAGTGGGACAAAGTGAAGATGAGTTTGTTTAGACAATAGCTAAAAATATTCAGTGCCAGCAGACCTACTATACAGCATTAAAAATTATTTTTTAATGTTAAAGAAAGCTTTCTGGGCAGAAGTAAAGTGAAACCAGAAAAAAAAAAGAGCCTTCACACAAAAAAATTTATGAATAGCATGATTTTTTTATGAAAATAAAAAAGAAACATGGCTACTTTTAAAATGTGTTGTGAAAATTTTAACATTAAGCAAAATGAAAGACAAAAATAGCACAAAATAAATGTCTGGGTGGAATGGAAATAAACTGCTGTAAGATTTTTTAAATCTACATGAAGTGGTTGAACTTTTTTTTGAAGTTACTATTTTTTGAAGAAAAATTTTGTAATTTAGAGATATATTGTAAATGCTATCACAATCACTTAATATAAACATAAAAATAAAGATATAGGTAGACTAATAGGGAAGATCAAATTGTAAACATTATTCCATTTAAAAGAAGTCAATAAAATAGGAAAAGTGAAAAATTGTTCAGATGAGACAAATGAAAAGCAAACCGCCGATAATTACCTTTGTAAATGACTTAAATGCTCCAGTTAAAAGATTGTGTTACTACATTGGATAAGGAAACAGACCCTAGTAAATGCAACTTACAAGAAATTAAATTTAAATAAAAAGGTTAGTTGAAAGTAAAAATTACAGAAAAATGTGATACAGAATGGGTAGTAGAAGAAGGTAGTTCTACCTATCAGTTACGACCACGTGATCAATTGCAAAAGCAAGGTTTGTAATTGTAAGTGTATTTTCTTTTCATGTGCTTATTGTATATATTTCCTTTGTTCATGTATGATACATCAGATGTAATTGGACTCAGTGTGCTTTCGTTTATGTGTATGAGATGTTTGATGATAAGTGTAAGTGTGATTTCATTAATGTCCAGAAATTATATAATTATATATGGCTAAAGAATTGTTTATAATGTGTTAGTCTGGGTACTTTAGAGAAACAAATCCACAGCAACTCGTGTATAAGAGAGAGTTTTATATAAAGGTTAAGTGCACATCAAGAAAACATCCCAACCCAGTGCTACCCAAGCCCACAAGTCCAACATTAACCCATATGTCCGACACCAATCCATAAAGTCCTCCTCCATCTCACAAAACACACACTATGACGCCGACTGCAGGAGGAAAGCCAAATCAGTAAACATGTAAGCACCTCAGCACTGGCAGGGGTCTCCACAGGCTTCTCCTTGGGGATGTCTTCCAGGAAATGAGCCTTTGCCACTTGAAGCAGGGAACTGGCTAAGGCAGCTGCACCCTGGTCTGACCATCACAAAGCAAGAGACCCAAGAACTAGAAAGGCGAGGCTCACTGTTTATCGGCCAGGTTGGCACAATAAACTAGCTACCTCACCAAAGTTGGTAGCTCAATAATGGTGATTTGTGATGAAAGCTGAAATTACTGATAATAAATACTTTTTAAAAATACCTTTTAGACAGCTGAAATTCTATTACAACATGGAGCAAACCCTAATCAGAAAGATCACAAACAAAAGACTGCTTTGAATGAAGCAGATGATGAAACAATGAAAAATCTGCTAAAATCTTACGGTGCTGTTGAGACTCATAATAGAGATGAGAGTCATACTGGTATGTATGTCAGTTTTGTTTATGCTTTTATGCATGTGTTTATCTCATTTAGAAAACAAAATCTCAAGATCTATAGTGAAAATTATTTTAAAATTGAGAATAGATGTTTATTTTATTTTTTTTTAATCAATTTATTGGGCCTCATACAATTCATCACAATACATACATCAATTGTGTAGAGCACATCTATACATTTGTTGCCCTCATCATTCCCAAAATTCGCTTGCCTCTTGGGTTCCCGGAATCAGCTCACTTTCCTTTTTTTTCCCCCTCCCCCTCCCTTCCTCTGCCCCTCTCCCCCATGCACCCTTGATAATTTATAAATTATTATGATGTCTTATATTACACTGCCCGCGTCTCCCTTCACCTACCCCTCTGTTGCCCATCCCCCAGAGAAGAGGTTATATGTAGCTTTCTGTGATCAATTCCCCCTTCCTACACCCCCCTTCCCTCCTGGTATCGCCACTGTCACCCCTGGTCCTGAGTGGTTCATCTGTCCTAGATTCCCTGCGTTTCCAATTCCCATCTGTAACGCTGTGCATCATCTGGTCTAGCCAGATCTGCAAGGCAGAATTGGGGTCCTGGTAGTTGGGGGGAGGAAGCGTTTAAGAACTAGAGGAAGGTTGTGGGTTTCAGATGTTTCTTATTTTTAATAAACTCTTGATAAGACATTATTTATTTTTTAAAACTACCGTCTCCAAATTTAGTTTAGTTTTTGGACCATATGATCCTGTTGGATTGAAGTTACATATTAAAATGAAATCCATATCACTCATTAAACAAACATTTATCTCCTTAACATTAGATCTGAGATAGGTGTAATTGAAACCAGACAGATTGGTTTACTTGTGAGTAGGGCTGAAGAAAGGAGATATATAATGAAGTCTTTGCATCCAAGATTCCATTCCTGCAAAATTTAGAATGACTCATACGTAAGTTAGACTAACAGGAACTGTTTAAGACCTTAATATACTAATTAGCACTAGCTTATTCATTTTAAGCAAATCAATATTACATCAAAAAATATTTCAATGGAATGTATAGGCAAGTGAAAACTTATATACCATTTACACTTAAAGACTAAATGAATTATAAGAAACAGGCATTTACTGAACACTAATTTAGAAAATGGGAATACTAAGTTTAAAACAGCTGGTATGTCAGTGGTAGAATCCTTGCCTTCTGTGTGGGTTCGGGTCTGGTTTGCGCTCATCCACTTCGGCCACTGGAGGCCTGGTGTTACTGTGATGCTGCACAGGTTGCAGCAGAGCTTCCAGACTAGGAAGACGAGGAAGAAAGGCCTATGGGTCTGTTTCTGAGAATCAACCACTGAAAGCTCTATGGATCACTGTAGACTGATTGACAACTGGATTGGCACAGGACTGGGCAGCATTTCATCCCATTGTATACAGGGTAACCATGAGTGGGGAGCAACGCAGTGACAGCTTACAGTGATTTAGAAAACTTAACTTGTTGAGCATGCTCTTATTATGCAATTAGCCACCTACCTGTGAGAAACTTGCAGTATCTGGGGTAACTGGCCAGAGAATAGGCAATTCCAAACAATTGAAGTGTTGAGTAGAGTGAAATTTTCTTCTATTCCTCCAATCTTAAGTATTCTTACAGAAGAAGAAACCTAGGAACATATCTGCCCTCTTCTCTCTAGGAGGGAGTATCCATGTCACCCACTTTTGCCCCAATCTGCCTCCATCCCTACCAATTGTTGCTCCTCAAGAGAATAAGAATTACTGATCTGATTTGTAGGAGGCAAAGATAGATCCTATTTTATTTCAGACTAGATCCATGTAGGTCAAGGACAGCACTTATGCAAGTTTCCTCTTTGATTGCTCACTACCAGGTGGTAAGTCCCCAGGACCTGGCCCTGTGATTGCCATGATCTTTCTTAAGGACCCGATCATATCTGTCCCTGTCTCCAAAGCCACTTGAACGTTTAGGTGCTGATTTAAATTGGCTAGCCTCCCGGAGAAGTTTTGCCTTTGGAGTAATTACACTATTAAATAGTACTAAGTCTGTCCTAGGTAGCCCTGGTGGGATCATGAGTTACAGGTTATCCTATTGGGTGGCTTTGAGTTGGAATCAACTGGATGGAAGTGAGTTTGAGTTTGGTGTCTTTACCCACCTCTCTCTTGTTTCTTGTGTCTGCATTTCCTTGTTCAGGAATCCCAGAGGGATTTGGGGTATAGATTACAATAAATATAAAGAAGGGGAACCCAGGGGGGCTCAGAGAGAGCTATACAGAGGCTCACAGCCATAATTTTATTAAATAAGTGCATAGACTTTGGGATCAGATCTGGTCTCTGGGACACTGGGAAGCTTCCTGAACCTCTCTAAGCTTCTGCTCCTTCTGTGAAGTGGATGTGATGAACTACCTACCTCAAAGGTCTGTATGAAGATTAAATAAGATGACTCATGGAAAGTACTTGACAGGTAACATGATATCTAGCTAGTAATTCATAATAATGATAATAAACGAGATACTGACAGCTAGAGACAGCCCTTCGATGGACAATGACTGAACTGCCAGGCACTCTGAGAAAAACGATTAAAAATGTAATTGTGAAAGCTTGAGTTATGTGGCAGTTTCAATACTGTACTTATTTGTTCCAATTGCAATTCCCCGCCCCCCCCCCAACTGTAATCATCCTCTTTCCATGACCCCATCTCTACTTCCAGTGCCCAAACCACCAGGAGGACCGCGTAGCACAAAACTAAAACCACCAGGTCAGTTCTAGCACTGCATGTGGGGTCCTCGGGT